AACACAGAGGTGGGTTTGGTTGTTTGAAAGAAGTTTTGTGACTAGGAATGCAAACGTGGGCCAGGCAGCTGAAGTATTTTGGGATATGACATCACTCCTTGTATCACTGGTTGATGTAATTCTTGCTAAACCTCCAGGTGGACATGAAGTTCTTACCTTTTCTTTCCCACTGTAAATTATTATTGGATTTAGATACTGGCCAGGATTGATATTCCCAAGTGTTTCTGATGAGTACTCTCCTATTATCTCAAAAACCATTTCTCCACTCTTCAGGGACACCTGGAGCCACCTGACCTTGCACTGACTTCAGTAGAAGTTGGATCTGTCCTCAGCTTACCTTTTGTATTGACCTAAATCTCTTTGCAAAGCAGAATTAAAGCTCTCCCTGATGTACATTATTATTGAATAAAATTCAGCTATTTCTTAATAGCTGGATGCCCTCAGGCCTCTGCTTTAAAGCAACTTGGCCTGAAACAAAGGAGAATTTGCTTCATATATTATTTACTTTGGCCATTTAATTTAAATTGCCTTTTGCTGTAGCTCCTTACTCATGTTCACTGCAGAGAGGTAAGTTAATAAATCTGAGACTTGTCTTGATTTCTTTCCCTGGCTCTGGAAACAGATGTCATGTTCCACTTCCTGGGCTGTGTTTTTCAGTTTAAATACACCTAAGGAAAAGTGGCAACTCCAGCATTGCATCGAGGGGATGGAGAATAAAACCTGTCACTGATATAACCCTAATTTGTTTAAAAGATTTATTTCTAGAAAAGAATAAGATGTTGTTTTTGTATTTCAGTCTTTTTAACAGCAAAATACACCCGACTTAGAGTGATTTCAAAAGCAATTGCATCACTTTAGGCACAGTTTATGAGCCCTGCTCTAGTTCATTAGAAAACCAAGGTATGACTTTCAGTGATGTTAATAATCCTAATAGAATTAACACCATAAAACATGATTAAAAACCAAAAAGTTTGATCAAGGAAACTTTCAAGCTTAAAAGGCAGATTTCAAACTTTACCAGCTGATTTTTTTTGAGCAGGATTACGAAGCCAGCCCTGGTTTTACTCTTCCAAGAGGAAATGCCATTAGATCTGATTGTAACGTGCCTGGTGATTCATGGGCCTGCTCGTCCACGTGCTTTGTGAGAGATGAATTATTTAGTAAGAAAAATCACAATAATTTTGTTGTTACTCAAGAATTTATAGGTTGACAGGAAAACAATTATGCAGCCCCTGCAGCTGGTGGGGGACAGAACATCATTAACCACACACAGCCACCTTGGCTCAGTCCAGCTGCTGGAGTTCCATGTGCTGTAATCTGCTTTATTTCAGTGTATCTTCATCCTTTAAAGCAAGAACTAAACATTGACTAATTCAGCCTAAATCAAGTTTACCTTTTTTGGGGGGTTTTTTTCCACTCCAAAAGGAGTTTACTGCGAGGAAGAGCCTTAAAGATCTATTTGAGGCCTGATCCTGCTCCCTGTGAATTGAAAACAAGATCAATTATTATTTCCTGATGTTTGGTTCACAAACACTCCCTTGCCTCTTATTCCAGAGGAACTGCAGAGTGTCTGCAAGGGCTGGTGGGGAGGCAATTTTGGGCAAGTTTTAATGCCAGTTTTAAGGAGTCTTTAATCCATCCATGTATTGATTCAGCTGGAGCACTTGGTGATTCTTTCTAGGAGCTGCCTCTGAGGGAAGGATGTGTTTAGAAAGCCTGGACACTGCTGACCTACTTTTTTCAGGAGCCTGAGGGAGTTCAGTTTGCTGCATTCAGGAGATGTTGGAAGACGTGGGAAGGGGAAAAAAAAAAGGTGGATTTCACCATGATCCATTATTTTATAAACAAGCATTATCTTTTTTAAAATATAGGAAATCGTGGGCTCCTAAAACAACAATCAGGTGCTGTTTTTTCTAGGGAATGAAGAGCTTGGCCTTTGTTATTTTTAATTCCTATCCAGAAGCTGGCACAGGGTGAAGCAGAGAATGATAAACTGAATTCAGTGAACCAAGGACTGGCATATCGATCCTGATTCCTGGAGCCTGTTTTGTGCACTGGATCAAATTCCATGTAAGTGGTACTGGGATACAGCATTCCCAAACATTTCAATAATTAAATGTTGGACGGTGTGACATAGTAAATAGATGTTATTCCTGTGGCAAATTCCAGCAGTGGTGAGGTTAAATTCCCACAGGTGCTGAGCAGGAGCTGTGATGAACATGTTGGATTTTCTGAGTCCATCTTCAGTGTCCTCCCTGTGCCCCCTGCCCTTTTATCCAGGGATCCGAGCCCAGGGCTGGAGGAATTTCGGGTCCTAATTTTGGCTGTGCCCTGTAAATCCTGACAGGGCACTTTCCACCTCTACCAGCCTGATCCACCCCCGAGACTGAGCTCCCACCTCCCTCCAGTAACAGCAAGGAAAACCCAGATCCAGATCCTGGAATATTCAGGAATTCTCCCAGGGGAATTGCTCCTTCCCTCTTCCTTCTGCTGCAGTTCTGGTGGAGGGACTCACAACTCCATTATGTGCTCTCTGTGGCAAAGATAGAAAATGACTCATGTTGGGCACCTTTGCAGTGGGAATTAAACAAGTAATAACTTCTTGCCATACTTTTCTGAGGGCCTTGCAAATTATCCTGCTATCCCCAGCGCTCCTGCGAGATTCCAACCTAATGATTCTCCTGCCCTTCTGCATCAGCTTTTTGCTTTTCCCTGGTAATAAATATTTATTTTCTTGCCTTGGCCACCTCCAGCTCCCCCCTGTCCTGTCCACAGTGCTGGGAAGCAGCAGAGAGCAGCAGCAGACTGCGAGTGGCGCGTCTGGCACCGCTGGACAACATTTCCCCACACAAAAATAAAATCAGAATTTATCCCAGTCCCGGCCTTCACCGTCCTCCTGTAATTAAAGAGCTGATATATTGTTCCTTTGCAGGTTTTGAATGCCCTGGCATTGTGGATACACACTGGAGGCCTAATTATAAATAGGAAATCTATGGGTGTTTCTTGCTGACAGAGTGTCAGCTGGATTTAGTGGGGAAAATCAGCTTAATTATCTTTTAATGTGGGTTTCTAGGAGCCTTCAACCTCCTGTGCCGGAAACTTTTTAAGGGGAGATTCTTGGGGCAGTCAAATACAGGACTTGGAGGATATTTTATGATACATATTTAAAAAAATCATAGATTGTGTTCTTGCAACGCAGATTTTCCCCCCGATGTCGAGGACAAAAATATAAAATTAGATTTTTGGTGACATTCTGTTCTCACAGCAGGAATTCTGCAGGATGATAAAATAAATATCAACTCTTTGTTTCCAATGGTGCCTTTAGAATGAAAATTTCTGATTAAACATAGGTTTTAAAGAAGTCTGGCAAAACCAAAGCTGTGTCAAAAAAACACATGATGGGCTTTAGTTCTTAAGATATAAAACCCCTTCAAGTTTGATTACACAAATCAGAATGGGGGATTAAGGTTATGATTAGCCCTGGAAAATCTACATAATATTTATGCAAATTTGGCAAATTGAGTTGGTTTTCCCCATAGCCTTGTAAATGAAAAAGACATTTTAGAAAAATTGCGAGTCTATAGAAATTCTCTCATTTTGTGTCCTATTCTTTAAAATTTAATCGAAAATGAGTCTGATTGAAATGAACCTGAGTGGAAGGTACACAGGGACTGCAGGTAAAAGGTTCATTTGAACAGAAAGACGGCTGTGTGGGCAGCACCAGTCCCTTAGATACTTAGGAGTTGGGGCTCTATTAATTTTTAGTGTAGGAACTAAATTATAAAGTTATTGAACAGAGAGAGAATTTATCTCTGTTAATGGCCATTGAAAGATCCTTTTTTTTTTTCCTAAAGCTCAAACAAAGTAGAATTCGAATGAGAGGAAGCTTGAAGATGTTTCAAGAATTAAATCAAATATACCTCCCACTCCCCCCCCCCCAAATTGATAATATAACTCAAATAGTCCAGTTTGTCGTAGATGATAATGCGAGAGAGAGTGATAAAATGCGCAGATCAATAGCCCACAATTGAGATTAATGCTGTGCTGTTAATAAAAAGAAGTGGATAGTTCGGAGCTGTGCGGAGGGGAGAGCGTTCCCTGTCACTGGTGTCAGGTGCAAAGCTTGTTCTAAAAGCTGAATAAAGCGTGTCACGGCTCGGGGTTGAGGCGGGGAGGCTGCGGAGCTGTCACAAGATGTTCTTTGCTGCTGTGGGGTGTGAGGGTTCGACAGGGATTCATCTCATCACAAAGATGGGTTGTGTTTTGGACTGGGCCCGTTTCCCCAGCAGCGCTGACAGATGGAAGAGTTGTATCTGGGTATCGGCGAAGGAGGGACTGGGCTGAGAGTTCTGTGATTTGGGAACAGTGATGTTGGTAAAACTTGAACTCCTAACACTGATGTGGGGCTGTGAGGGAACGCAGGGCAGCCCATTCCCCGTCACTCTCCCCGTTTGCTCTGCAGGGACATCGAGGCACAGACGGACACACCGGGCCCCTCACAGAGCCCCGGGATCACCGAGGCTGGGGGAGACTAAAAACCCGGTCCCACCATCACCACCCTGTCCCCTGAGCCACCCCCCTCAGCCACGTCCCCAGGGAACCCTCGGGAACACTTCCCTGGGTGATTTATTCCAGCCCAAACTCGCGCTTGAGGTCCGATGTGTCCGTGTGGGACGGAACAAGCCGGGCAGAGGCCCCAGGGGCTCTCGGGGAGCAGACCCCAACTCCTCGCCGGGGACTCCGCGCTGCTTTGACCGCAATCCCAGCCCGCTTTGTTCTGCCGCCTCAACTGGGCTTTTTTTCCCCGCTCAAACACCAGGAATAACGGGGGTGGAATTACCCCCTGAGCGCTCCCGCTGCCCGGGGCGGTTTCCCGACCTGGCGCCGCCTCCTCGCCGAACATGGCGCCGCCTCCCCTTCCTCCTCCTCCTCCCCTTCCTCCTCCTCCTCCTCCCCCTCCGCACATCCATCCCCTGCTGCCGTTTTGGTTCCGGGGCAGCGGCTCCTTCCTGCGGGCTGGCGGCGCTGGGCCGCGGTGCCCCGGGCGGCCGCAGCATGTGAGCGCCGGGGCGGGGATGCTCTGGCTGCTCTGCGGCCCCTCCCGCGCCATGGACGCCCAGGCGCTCGTCATCCGCATCAAGATCCCCGACGGGGCCGCCGTGGACTGGACCGTGCACTCCGCGCCTCAGCTGCTCTTCAGGGACGTGCTGGTGAGTCCCGGAGCCCCCCCCGCGCTGCCCCGGGGGTGGCGGAGTGGGGGCACAGCGGTGGCCTTGTGGTGTCTGCGCCGGCGGGTTCTGAGGGCAGGGAGGGTGGCTGTGGTGGAAGGGGCAGAAAGCACCGCGTGGAATCCCCTCCCGTGCCCCCGCGGGTCTCGGCAGCCCAGCTCGGCGCCGTGGAACGGTTCGGGTTGGAAGGCTCCTCTGGAGGTCCGACCCGGTGCCCTGGGCAGGGGTGCAGCATCAGGGCATCCCCGCTGGCTGCGGGGGCAAGGCCGGGATTTAGGGCTGTGCTTTGGGAAGGAGCGTTCCCGGCTCGGGCTCGGTGAACCGGCTGGGGCTCCGCCTGCTCCCGGTGCTGCTGCCATCGCCGGGCTGGGGGTGGTTGTGTCTCTGCCCTCAGCCCCTGCCTTGTTTTCCCTCCATCTGCACACCAAGTGCTCAAGGACCCTCTCTTTCCTCAGAGATGGGAGTGGGTGTTTATCCCGTTCTTCAGTGCATCCTTAGCCCAAAGAAATGTCCAGTCCTTGTGTGCAGGGATGCCCTCACATTCCCTCCACAACACGTCCTTGCTGGAGACTCCATGTGCTCCTGTTTCCCTAAAAACAATCCCCCCCTGATCACATGCACGTTTAATTTCTTCTTATTATTATTAATATTGGAGAGAGATTCTGCAGATCTCTGATTTCAAAGTGTTGTATTTTATTGAGAAGACACGTGGCAATTCAGGGCTTGATTTGCTGCAAACCATTTGATGCTGGGCCCGTAGGAGGTTGCACAGGTAACTGGAGCAGGTGGCAAATGTTCCTGGTTTCATTATTCCTAACATTTAGCATTATCCAGGACTTTCTGTGGATGGAGGCGCAGCAGCAGAACTTTTGAGAGATCAGGGAGGGTTTTGAGAGAGGCAGTTTCCCCTTGGTGGTTGCTGTGAGTTTCCTTTGGTTGCACAACAAACCTGGGATGACCCACTCTGCCCTTCAAACAAAGTGGTGCAAACCTGAGTCGGGTTTAATCCACGCTCTGCTTCGTGTTTTCCATTTTTTCCCCCAAATAAAGTGAGATAATCATTGACTGGACCATCCTTTGGCATTCTAGAATTATTGGAACTTTAGGCTTGATTGTATTACTTAAAAATAAGTAGAGAAATTGAGGTCAGTGGAACCTGACAGGACCAAACCCTGCTGATTTTCTTAAAACTCAGTTTCTGTCATTTCACTCGTGTTCAGCAACCATGGAATTGTAGAATGGCTTGGGTTGGAAGGGATCTTGAAGTGCATCTTGTTCCATCCCCCTGCCATGGACAGGGACACCTTCCACCAGCCCAGGTAGCTCCAACCTGGCCTCCTTGGACACTTGCAGGGATGGGGCAGCCACAGCTTCTGTGGGATGCCTATCCCAGTGCTGGGCATCAGGTCAGATTCCTGTTGGTGTTGATAATTTTTAGTTCTCCCCTGTTGGCCTGTGGAGACCTCGAGGGTGTTGGTGGCAGCTGGAAGTGACTGGGAGTGTTGGGTTGCCTGTGGTGAGTCTGGAGGTGATGACATTGCTCACCATCAGTGGGAATCTGGGCTGTGGGGACGAGGGGTGCTGTGACAGTGGGGTTGGACTTGATGATCTCGGAGGTCTCTTCCAACCCGGTTAATTCTATGATTCTATGACAGTGTTCAGCTGTGCAGCACCACCAGGCAATAATTGTCATGTCAAAACCCCTCCCCTGTGGGCTGTGAAGCCTTCAGACCAGAAGGGAGAAGTTTAATAAGGTCTGAACTGTCTCAAGGCCCTCCTCTGTCTGATGGTGTTTCAGGAGGTGCCACCACAATATTAATTTGCCTGGTAACTCCAGGAATTAAACAAAATAGGGCTCCATACATTGAAGAGTGGTAGATCCATCACCACCTGTGGCTGGGGAGGAGGCTGGAGTGTGGTGGGGAGGGCAGGAGTGGGGCTGACCTGGCCCCCTGGTGTCCTGATTGCCCTCAGCTGGCAGGCTCTGCAGAGGGTTTGTGTGTGAGCAACAATTAAAGAGCAGGTGGAGAATTCAGGTGTTCCCTACTGATGGAAATTGAGTGGTGATAACCCGGTCAGAGCCTTGAATTGCCCACATGTCCCTAAACTGAGGGTGCAGGAGTCACAGACACCCCCTTTCCCTCAGCTCCTGCTGTTTGGGGCACAGTCCAGTTCTGGATAATCCCTGTGGGGCTGTGCAGGGCACGGCAGGATCCATCCCATTCCTTGGCCTGTGCTTTGAGGCTACTGATGGGAATATTGGCTTGCCTTCAGCTGCAGAACCAGGTCCCAAAAACACCCCAGCCCTCTGCACTGGAGGGGCCTGGGGCTGGGGGAGCCTTGGATGAGCTGTGTGGTGAGGCTGCTCTTCTGTCTGAGGTAGGTCCCATGGGCTGCTGTGTGTTAAGAAAACCCCTTAAAATTGTCTTGGGAGAACAGCAGGGTTTGATTTTATATTTCCAAGGTGATTTTTGTTAATTTAGCACCCTACAAATGCAGGTGGCCTTCTGAATACAGATGAGTGCAGCCTTGCAGCATTTCAGGCTGGTGTGCAGGAATCTTTCCATCTTCCTTTTTCCACGGAAGAAGCTGTGTAGAGTCACCAAATATCCTGTCCATCCCCAAATATCCCGTCCATAGCCATGGAATAACCAGCTGGAGCCAGGAGCCTGATGTTCAGAGCAGTGCCTGGCACACTTCTTAATTTTCAGCTGCTCCAGTTCTGCCTTTTTGGAGGAGTTTTTGCTGCTCCTGAGCTGTGCAGCAGGGATTCAATCCTGTGATCCCTGGAAGCAGCACCCTGTGCTCTAAATCAGGCACTTTCCTGATTACTTTCCTAAAGTGGGTGCTCAGAGCTGTCCCCCATAATGCCACTTTAAATACCTTCCCTGGATATCTTGCAGACCTGTAAGTTCCCAGTAAATAGATTTATTTTTAAGGCACCACTAAATGAATTACAATAAGCTCATTTTTTTGCCGGGTGGGGCTGTCTGCACTCGTTTGTCCTGTCGCTGGGGTACTTAAGCAGCTCGGTGTTAATTCAGGAGAACTCTGTGTCATACTGAAAGGAAACAAGCTTGGAGTGAAACGTGAGGGCTGTGCTTTCAATATTTCCATTTGGGCAGAGCTTTCCCACTTGGTGCTTCCCAGAGAGCAGATCTGATGGAATTCCCACTGCAGCTGCCCTCGCCTGATTTGGTTCCTCCCCATTGTCAGAGGCTTTTCAGTCCCGTGGGCCAAAATAGGAGCGATCGTGGTTGTAAATTGGGGTGTTTTATTGTTCCTGATCTCTGTTGTGATAGTAGAAAATCCCCCTGCACGTGTAATCCATTGAAATTTGGAGTAATCCTTTAAGCTTGGGTCACCCAGAGGTCTGGGGGGAATGTTTGAGCATGGAAATCTCCTGGAGCTGCTGCAAACACTTTGGTTAAGGCACAATAATGGGGGGATTTCCCTCCCTCCCCTTCCCTGCAAGGCTGCTTTTCTCAGATACCTTGATTTAATGGAATTATTGGAAGCTGAGCAAAGTTGGTTTTGTTTTTGTTTTTGTTTTTGTGGCTGTTGGGAGGGTTTTCTTGTCAGCTGTTTATTTAGTGTAAGAGTTACGGTGGATGATTCACTTACTTGTTAATTATTCATATTAAAGAAGTCTCAACACAGAGAAAAAGTTATTTTAGATGGGAGAGGAAGAGGTCTAAGAATTTTTTACCCCTGTTTCAGTGCCATCACAGCTTTGGGAGTGTTGTTTTCAGACTTTTGGGGCCATCAGAAGTGTCTCTGTCTCAGGGCTGTGCTTACACGCCCATTAAACAGAGTTTTTAAACACCCCAGAACAATTTTTAAATCCTTTTCATGGAAGCATCTGTGTGCCCACATAAGAGTATTTTACAAGTGGCTTAAATCTAAACACAATTAAAGTGTTTTTTCCTGAGGAATTTTTGATGGTTAACTGAATGGGTTTAGGAATAATTAGTTAGTACAGCCTTCTGTTTAGGCAAGACTTTAATTTGTTATTGGGAATAGTGGTTGGCTTTTCACAGAGGACTGACAGACCCTGTGGAAGTATTAAATGGACAAATTTTGTCAGCCTGGCAATGTTTGGGTTTTTTTTTTCCCTCTTTTGCCTCCACAAATTTCCAATTCCATAATTAGGCAAGGTCTACTGCACATCTTTTATCTACAATTAATAGTTTAAATGGCACGTATTGACTTATTTGAGGGTCTGAAACCAAAAGACCACACGAGAAAGTTTTGAGAATTATTATTATTATTATTATTTCCTTTATTCAGCTCTGTGGAAATCTTCAAGCTGCCACTGCTGCTTTCTCCTTTTATTAATTGTGTCTGTTTGATACGGCCCAGAATGTTGAATTTCGTGTTTTTAGATGAAGAAATGGGGACAGCAGAAAGGACAGGGCAGCCATCCCGGGGCTCAGGGGGGTCCAGCACCCCAAGATGCTCCCAGGGAACCTGCTGCAATAAATCTGCTGTTCATTCATTTCTAATCAGCCACTGGCAGTGCAGGGATTGTCTGACATGAGCAATCAGCAGCGGGGAGGGGGGAAAAAACTACGCTGTGAATTTGTGCCGTGCCCTGACGTGACTTACGAGCTTCCCAGGGCTGGCAGCGGCTGCTCCTCGCTGGCTGGGACTGCCTGCTCTGGGAAAAGGCTAAAAAATGGCAAAATCAGCACAAAATCCCTGCTTTGGCTCAGAGCTGTGGAACCTGGGAAGGGCTGGGTGTGTCCGTGAGGAATTGTCGTGCCGTGATGCTCAGGCTTTCACCTCTTTGGGGTCTTGTAACCTTCACCTCTTTGGGGTCTTGTAACCTTCACCTCTTTGGGGTCTTGTAACCTTCACCTCTTTGGGGTCTTTTAACCTGATTTTCTCCCAGGATTTTAACCTGATTCCTCCCCCCCAGCATTTTAATCCATCTGTGGACTTTAGGAGAAGTTTAAATCCCAGTTAAGACTGACAAGGGCTCCAAACTTTGTACCTGGCGTGGAGCTGGCAGGATGTGCAGATGCAGCAGCCGTTGGGTCCCTCCACATTCCTGGGGGGAAAGCAGGAAGAATTCCTTCAGTCTCCCAGCTCCTGTTGTAATTCCTGAGGGAACTGAACCCTGAGCTGCAGGCAGCAGCTTTGGGTCAGGTTGTCTTGTGCTGGACCAGGTTGTTGGGAGCAGGGGAGGAGGAATCAGGATATAAAGAGGCTTTTTAAAGCAAAAAGCCCTTGATAAACCCCTTTTTATGCCTGACATCGATGAGTTAGACGTACATTTTTTGTAACCTGTGGGTGAAATCGATTCTTTGAACTGCCAGCCCAGGCACCACTGGGTTGTTCACAGTTCTGGGGGAGTTACCTGGGAGGAAAAGAGTTCTCCTCGAGGGGAATTGGAGAGTGACTGCTACAGATTTGTGTTGTACACTAAAAGTTCCCAATTCTGGGGCGGTGCTGAGTAGGTTTGACCTCTCCTTCCTGCAGCTGGGGGGGTGATGAGGATGATTTACTCAAAACCAGGCTTTTCCCATTTGATCCGTGACCGGTTCTTCTTCCCGTTTCAGGATGTCATCGGTCAAGTTCTGCCAGATGCAACCACCACAGCCTTTGAGTGTGAGTATGACCTGGAGAAACCACCTGCTCTGTCCCACTGCAGGGCTGCCAGGCTGTAAATAAAGGATTTGTTCCGTGGTACAGTTAAATATTTATGCCTTTCTGCGAGTTTCATAACGGCGCAAAGCCAGGCAATATTTTATTATTTAATCACCCCTCCAGTGAGCAGATTGCCACAAAGTAGCTTTAATTACCAGCCTGACCTTCCCGTGCTCTGACTCCTCGGTGCAATTCTATTGCTCAAATTAAATGAAAAGTATAAACTACCTGTAGGTCTGAGCTGAACGTTTTAATCCTCTCAGTGAGGGTGTCGGTGCAGGTTCAGCCTCCTGTCTGTTCTTTGAGCCCTGTTTATTCTTATTTTCTGAGGGATTCCCAGGGGGGATTGTCCTGTCTGGAGAGAAGGAAGCTGCAAAGGGGAGTCAAAACTCTGTGTCTCAAGATACTGAGCTGGGCTTTTCTTCCAAGTGGAGAAGACTCCTGTTATTCCTTTTTAATTTTTATTGTATTTTTTTCCTGTAATAGAGATGAAATGGAGGGGATTTCAGGAGCTGGAGGGGATTAAAGTGTTCTGTGAGTGAGGTGGTGATGCTGAGGCTGACAGAGCAGGTACAACACTGGGCCTTGCATTTTTATTAGCATTTCTTCTCTTTTTAGAGCTTTATGGACAATTCTGTCCAGAAATAATCAGAGGGAATATTGTTCTATGGTCCTTCAAGTACTGTTTATCTTGCTTTTCATATCAGTGTGTTTTCCCCTCCTGAAACACCAGAAAACTAAGACTGGAGATAAGTTTTGTTCCTATCCCCACGACATTTCTCCTGCTCTGCTTTTCAACACAAGACTTCCTGCAGAGACCTGAGCAAAACCAGGCTCCAGACCTTGCCACTTCTGTTCATTTTTATTCGCTAATTTTTTTTCCGCATCACCCATCAGCTGTGGTTGAACTTCACGCCCCAGCAGCGGTCTCTGCACTCGGGGCAGTAGCCCATATTAATGGCACCACGTGTGGAACTTCCCTGGAAATACTGATTTCCTCGTGCCTCCCAACAGCTGCTTCTGTGCTTTCCCTTCATGTCTCTAGTCTGTCATTTACATCTGCACAGAGCCATTTCCCCTGCCATTTAACTGGCATCTAAAATATGTTATGGATATTGATGCCTGATTTTGGTGGGTTTTTTGTATTGTTTTGTTTTTTCTGGGGACTTTTTCCATCTCCAGTGCCTGGATTTTACCAGCTTAAGCTTCCTTCTCAGCTGCTTCAGCTGGGGATAATTCCCCTCCAGCACAGGCTTCCCTGCTCTCTGTTTGGTGGTTGTTCTCCCAGTGTCCCACCTGGGGCTGCTTCTCCTGAGGGGCCTGGCTGGGATTTCACCCCCCAATCCCACGTCCCTCCCAACACGTGGCCTGTTCTGATCCCTCCCTCCAGACCCTGCCATTCCGTGGGTTTGTGACGCGCTGCAGATTTGGGGAAGATTGCTTGATGATGTTTCTTTGCCATCTGCTGCGCTGTCAGATGTCTTGGGAGGGTTCCTGCCTCCATTTGAAGTGGCATTAACAAAACCCAGCCAGGACTGAGGATTCTTTTTTTTTAATTTTTGGAGGGGTTCTACTTTTGCTTCCCTGATGTGCTGGAAGATCCAGGGGCCTGGAAACCTTCCTGAGCCCAGGGAGTGTTTGGGCTGTGCCCACTTTGATGCCATGGTGGGGTGGCAGAGCAGCTCTGCACAGGGACAGCAGGGATTTCCTGCTGCTTTTGCTCTTTGATTATTTTCATAGTCAGCTTTTTTAGTGCCAGTTAGCATTTTATATCTTTCCATCCATCTATTTCTCCTCTTTGTACAACCATCAGGAATTTTGCAGCTCTGAGAACACTGGAGTTAATTTCCCCATCATAATGTGGGGTTTTTCTCAGCATTTTGCCGGAGTTTCCCCCTTTTCTTTTCTTTTTTTTCTTTTTGCTGGTCCCAGCTCAGCCTGTTCCCTCCCACTAAGCCTTTTATCCATATATCCCCCCCTCTCTGTCCTAAATTTCCCCTCTCTCTGCTCTCCCTCTGGTCCTTGCTGTCGGTGTGGGGTGTTTGTTGTGTTCCCTATTCCAGCAGCTGCTTTTCCAGCCCTTCCCACTCTGTTACCCTCTGGGATTTGGGTTGGGGCCAGGTAGCAGTTTGGCAGCTCCTCCTCCTTTCTGCCCCAGATGTTTCCAGGCAGGGAATATTTCATTTTCAACTCCCTGACTCTTCCTGATCTTTCCATCATTCATGGAATTCCATCATCATCATCTGCTCCCCCTGGTGAGGAGTTTTGAACAGCCTGGCAGTGCACCAGTTAAATTTCCATGAGAAAAGGGCTCTGCTAGGACACATCTCTGCTCTCCAGTTCCTTTCCCAGCTTCCACACTTCCAGCATCTCTTCCACTATGTTTTTGGGGTGCAGTTCTGAGGGTTTTATGCTTTACTCTTTTTCATGGAAGCCTCAGAATTTCCCTGCGAGGTTCTCAGAGGCAGAATGGACAAACTCCTTCTCTCCCCCAGTTGTGATGTGTTGGCTCTGATCTCTTCCCTGATCCTTGTGCATAACTGGGAGCAGGAGGGAATTTCCATCCACAATGGCAATTTTTATGCTCATGTAACACATATTAATAATGATGGATGGGGCAGAGGTGTGGGGGGAACCTCCTGCAGGGGACTTCAGGTGGGGTTGGCAGTGAGACCAGGAGGCTTTAGTGGGAGGAAAGCAATTCTATTTTTAATTTTCTTTTAGTTTCTGGGAATTCATAGGATCTTGGAGTGGTTTGGGTTGGAAGGGACTCTGAAGATTGTCTCGTTCCACCCCTGCCATGGGCAGGGACACCTTCCACCAGCCCAGGTTGCCCCAAGCTGGCTTTGGCCACTTCCAGGGCTCCAGGGGCAGCCACAATTTTTCTGGGCAACCTACAGTGACAATGAATTCCAGTGGAACTGCCCAAACTCACTTTACTTACCTTAAACACACTCCAGCTTCACCCTTCTGTTTGCTGTGTCGAAGGAACCCCTGGCTGGGTGTCGGTGAGGGCTCAGAGCAGGTGGAAGGTGCTCACCATCTGGGTAGGTTCTGGCACTAAAAGAACTGTTCACCCCGAGGTAACGAGCACTGTGCTTGAAGCAGACTTTTAGTTTTTGTTAATTGATGTTTGGAGTCATTATAGGTTGCTGTTTCGGTACCACGTCACTCCTGCAGTCTGCTTTGACATTGCTCGTTTTTATTTGCTTCTGAAAGTCCAGATAGAAACCTTAAATATTAACAATAATTAAATTAAAAATACTAAGAATATCCTCCTTGCCTTGTTGATGTGTGTGATGCATTTCCCTGGCAGATGAAGATGAGGATGGGGATCGGATCACTGTCAGAAGCGATGAGGAGATGAAGGCCATGCTGTCCTATGTAGGTACAGTATAAAAAACGCTGATTTTTCCCCATGTTTATCACTTTTTTCGGTGTATTTTTCCTTGTATCAGCATTAACAGAGGCTGCAGTTTGCACTGGACAATATCCCTGCATTAAGTCCAGAGTTTAATATTCCTGGATTAAATGTAGGTGTTTAAAAAAACTGTATCACATGAGATACATGGACATGCTTGACTTTAAAAAAAAAAAAAGAGACACTTGTACACTTACTGATCATATCATAAACATTAAGAATAATGCATCTTAATGACTTTTGCATTAGGTATAGTGCAGGCTAAATGGACTATCAATTTCTTGTATTTTTTATGCAGTACTTAAAGTAACGGCTCATTAAAAATGAACCCCTGGGCTCTAAAAATTTTTCAAAATCTACTTTCATCTGGAGACTGTTTCACCCCTCCTAACAGAGGAGTTTCATTGTAGCTGCAGGCTCAATATTCATGGAGGATTTAAAGCTGTATTTTCTGGTTTTTTAATAGGAGAGATGTGTGTCTGTGTGTGCCTTTATATAGGTGGGGGTGTGCAAAATCTGCCTGGCTACCTATAAATAAATATCAAATCTGTCTGCAGGAATAGTGTGCAGTTACTTATGGAAACTAAACAATTCGAGAGTAGCTTCAGTGTGTCTTTCATGCTGCAGATTTAAGTGGAAAAATGTGATTTAACTCCTTTTTTTGCTCAAATGAAATGGATAAGCGAGAAGGTGACCAATGGTGTTTTCTCCCTGGGCCAGGTGGGCTACCAGGGATTTGTAAATGTTGTTTAACTTGGAGCCTGTCAGCACCAAGCCGTGTTTGGTACCACCCATAGGTGGTTTTGGGGGGACTTCATGGAATCCTGGAATGGTTTGGGTTGGAGGGATCTTAAAGACCATCCTGTACCATGGGCAGGGACACCTTCCACTAGTCCAGGTTGCTCCAACCTGGCCTTGGACACTTCCAGGGATGCAGGGGCAGCCACAGCTTCTCTGGGCAACCTGTGCCAGGGCCTGCCCACCCTCCCAGCCAGGAATTCCTTCCCAATATCCCATCTGTCCCTGCCCTCTGGCAGTGGGAAGCCATTCCCTGTGTCCTGTCCCTCCATCCCTTGTCCCCAGTCCCTCTCCAGCTCTCCTGGAGCCCCTTTAGGCCCTGCAAGGGGCTCTCAGGTCTCCCTGGAGCCTTCCCTTCTCCAGGTGACCCCCCCCAGCTCTCCCAGCCTGGCTCCAGAGCAGGGGGATCCAGCCCTGGGAGCAGCTCCGGGGCCTCCTCTGGATCAGCTCCACATCCTCCTGCTTTTGGATCCCAGAGCTGGACACAGCAGATCACTGGTGATGCTTCCCCCCTAGAATTCCTTATATTTCTCTATTTCCCTTCTAAAATCTCAGCCATTCTTGCTGTAAAAGTGGCAAACTTGACTTTTCCTGGCACGGTCTGCAGATTAATCACGCCTTGCTAAGGTCATGTTTTTGCTATGCTTCCAAGCTCACTGTTAAAGTTTCAGTACATTAGAGTTATGATTGCTCAACTCTCTGCTTCCCCTTCAGAATTATGGGATGGCTGTAAATGGCTTCTTTCTGCTTCAGCAGCTTTTTCTCCTCTGAAAATGTTTCCCTTCAGTTTTAAACTGGTTCTTTTACTGGAGGGTTGCATCGAGGGTTTAGGTTCCTCACTTCCTGTGGGCTTCATTTGGGGATGTGTTCACAAGAAAACAAATGTTCTTAGCCTAGAAAATGAATTAACCTTGGAGAATATAGTGGGGAAGGAAAACACTCATTTTTGAGTGTTTTGAGCCCTTCAAGGAATATTTGGAGGATTGGACAGCTGGGAATATTTCTGTGTATTTTAACAGGGTGCATTTTGATGTTCTCCAAAATGGAGGTGTTTTCCTTCAGTTTAAGAACAAAAAACCAATTCCCTGAGCTCAGAGATCTCTTCCATGCCACTCTGACCAGGGAGATCTTTGGAATCCCACGAGTTCTTTGGAATCCCATGGTGGATGAGAACCATGCCCAGCCTCCCCTCCTCAGGTCCTTTGCTTTCCTAACTTGGCAGGCAGTTATTTCAGGCAGTTCTGGGGTTATTTTTGAGTGAGCACAAATGCTTTGGAGTAGGCAAATAGTGGGGGGGGAGGGGGGAATTAAAATGATTTCTGCCTTGTGCCTTGCAGTTAATTAAAGACAGGGCTGGAGCAGCAGTGGGGTTGCACTGGCCTCTTGTCTTGTAGCACTATAAAAAGGCAGTAATTTTTTTGACAGCCACTGATTGGAAAGTTGCTTGCAGCTTTCTCAAAGCAAGGGGTACATGCTCTGGATCAATAACTGGCAAATTTCCCATTAAAAAGAATACCTGAACAATGTTCCAAATAGCCACTGGCATCTTAATTTTCCATGGAAACCTCAAATGCTCGTGTGTGGAGGACAAGTCATTTTCAGACAATTTTTCCAGACTACTTGTTAACAGTTATTGCTGTCCCAAAAGGTTGACAGCTTACATGATTGATATTTCATTTACTTGTCATCACTGGTGAGTAATGGAGAGGGCCAGGGGTTTTCTCTCTCTCTGCCCCTCTATTTTTTTTTTTTGTTTGATAGGAAACAGTCTCATGTCTGTTTATTTTAGTTTATTATTCCAGAGAGTATGTCATATATGTTTGTGCTTCAGGTCACAGAATGCCACTCGTGAATGGTCATTAAAAGGTTTGTTTTTATTAAGCAGTTTTGGAGCAGGAGGTTCTTTCCCAGCTCCATAACTTTGAGGTGCTGGGACCACATTTTTCTGAAGGGACAGGAGGACATGGGGGAGCATTTGACATGTTGTTCATGGCCCTCCTAATGAAAAATAAGTTCCTGGGGTCGTTGTGACCCCTGGGGAAGCTCTTGATCGTTTCACAAGGGGGGGGAATTCTTAAACTTTTGTCTCTTTGAAGTTGCACCAGCAAAAATTCGTGTTTTAAGGGAAACCATCAGTGTGAGGGGAATATCTGTGTTTGATTCCACGGAGACTTGGGGCTTTTTTTTCCCTTGTTGACACCCATCCTTGCCAGTTTGAATTGTATCACACAGGGCTGGCAACAGTGACGTGCTGAATTCTTAGACCACACTGGGCTGGTGAGAATGAGGATGAAAGCCAGAGGAGCCACAGGGATTTCTGCCATGGAGAGCTGGCCCACAGCCAGCAGGTTCCCTTCAGAGGTGTTCAGGGATTGCAAAAGAAACCTTCTTTGTGATGTGCTTTCAGCATTTAAGACGGTGCTGACGGGAGTTGTGCAGGTTGGAGATGGGAAATTCCCAAGCCGGGTCTGTCTCCTGCCCTGGGACTGTCTGTTTGTGGGGTTAAATGGCCTGGCTGGTGAGTTCACCCCATCCTCAGCAGTGAGGGACAATTAAAAGAGGCTGAGGAGGATTTCAGTTTGCTTAATCCAAAGGTTTATTTCTTCACTTAGAGCCACTCCTCACCCTCGGGCTCCCTGTCCCACATTACTTCTTTCGTGTCTTCGTGGAATCCTGGGGTGGTTTGGATTGGGAGGGGCCTTAAAGACCATCCAGTTCCACCCCTGCCATGGGCAGGGACACCTTCCACTAGCACAGGTTGCTCCAACCTGGCCTTGGACACTTCCAGGGATCCAGGGGCAGCCACAGCTTCTCTGGGCAACCTGTGCCAGGGCCTGCCCACCCTCCCAGCCAGGAATTTCTTCCAATCTCCCATCTAACCCTGCCCTCTGGCAGTGGGAAGCCATTCCCTGTGTCCTGTCCCTCCATGCCTTGTCCCCAGTCCCTCTCCAGCTCTCCTGGAGCCCCTTTAGGCCCTGCAAGGGGCTCTCAGGTCTCCCTGGATCCTTCTCTTCTCCAGGTGAACAATCCCAGAGCAGAGGGGCTCTTGGATCATCTCAGTGGCCCAAGTGTCTTCTTGGGTTTTGACGTTCTCAGATCCTTTTCCATCCCTTTTCGCCCATTCTGAGCCTTTCTGTGTCACTGAACATTCCCCCACAGGTCACTTCCAGGATTCCCAGGGGTCGGGATGTCTGCAGGGGTTTTCTGTCCCCTCTGTGCATTAAATCTGTCCCTTGAGGGTTCACCCGTGGATCTCTGCCTGTGTGGGATGTGACCCCAGCTGCCCTGAGGGGGCAAATTCTTGGACAGTTTCCATACCCCTTGGTTAAGTTCCTCTGTCCCACTTACTGTGGAACACCACAGATGGTGAGAAACCATCTCAGGGCTGATTTGCACCGCGGCAATTAAAAAATAAATAAAAATACATTGAACGAAACAATCCAGAAGTGCTTTTACTGCTCATACATTACTGAGTCATCTCTTTCTTTAATCTCTTTGCAGTATTACTCCACTGTAATGGAGCAGCAAGTAAATGGACAGTTGATAGAGCCCCTCCAGATCTATCCACGAGGTAATGCTGAACAAATTCTAATCAACAACGATGATAACTGCTGATGAACCAGTTCACTGGTACGGTTTTTTTGGGGAGGTTTAAATGCACACAACGTGATGTTTACCTCTTAATTTGGATAGGAGAATTCATTGTTGTGGGGAGTGGAGAGAAAACTGCATTTATTGCATATAAAATAGCTGATTTCCCGGAGTAAATTAGACTAACGAGATTCAGTTTGCACAGTACAGATTTAAGTACATTTAAAGAACTCATTGGTGAGGGTTCTGCGTGTATTCAAAGCAGATGAATAACTGAAGTTCGGGATGCTTATGTAAATTGGGCTTTTTTTTTTTTTTTTTTAAGATGTTTTAATGTCATTAATCAGCCTGACAGACTTGGGGGATGTCACTGTCACCGCTCATTTGGAAAGTGGGAACGTGTCTGTCACAGGAGCTCCATCCACCACACGTTTTATCTGAGATCTGGGCGTTCAGCAGCAATATCAAAATGTTCACCAGTGCTTTAATAGTTCTCCTGAACAGGGCAAGATGTAATCAATTCTGTGGACTGAGGCAATTAAAAAAATAGGTCATCTACAACCTGCACACAAATCCGTAGGCAGCTCGTTAGGTTTTTTGGGAATGAACTGAAATAATGGTTTAAAAAAAAAAAAGCCCAGTGCATTACATAATCCCACTGATTCATTCAGATCTCAGTAGCCAGGCTTGGAATCTCTGCCTCTTTTTTAATTGACGGAACTTGAGATGGTTTTAAATTCTCCAAGTAAATCTCCCAGCAATAAATTAATTGAAATAATTAAAAATTAAACTCACTTAACTGGTATTATACAAATAATCATACTATGAGGCTCCCAATTAAACATTCTAGACTTCCATTACTTACAACTCTCTGAAGTTTGAATTGGGCAATTAAACCAACAGGCTCCTCAAACACGTGCTAATCAGGTCTCCAAAGGAGGCTGGGTTTCCTGGTAGTTCAGTGTGATCCCGTGGAAAAGAGATGGGAATTCCAGGGGAATAGAGGATTATGGGTTTATGGCTCAGGAGCTGATTTTGAGGGGCCTCCCAGATGTTTGAGCTGCAGGACTGCAGAGCCAGCAGCACTGAGATGTGTCCTCCTGAGAGCAGTGGGAGAGGGAAGTGATCTCCTGCCTCTTCCCAGGCTGAGATTCTGGAATCCTGGAATGGTTTGGGGTTGAAGGAGCCTTAAGGACCATCCTGTCCCACCCCCTGGTGCTCCAAGCCCCATCCAACCTGGCCTTGGACACTTCCAGGGATCCAGGAGCAGCCACAGCTTCTCTGCCCAACCTGTGCCAGGGCCTGCCCACCCTCCCAGCCAGGAATTCCTTCCCAATCTCCCATCTCTCCCTGCCCTCTGGCAGTGGGAAGCCATTCCCTGTGTCCTGTCCCTCCATGCCTTGTCCCCAGTCCCTCTCCAGCTCTCCTGGAGCCCCTTTAGGCCCTGCAAGGGGCTCTCAGCTCTCCCTGGAGCCTTCTCTTGTAGCTTGGAAAAGCTGATGTAGTGGATGATCCTTGGAGGTTGGGAATGCTTGTTGGAAATAGGAGGCAGTTACATCTATTTCCTTTTTAATCAAACAGCTGAAGGGAGTTGTGGCAGGGGGTGCTGGCACAGCTTGGAGTTTAAAGGGATGTTTTGTGATACCAAATCAGGTTAAACTTGCTCGATTCTCCTTTTGGGTCATTCCTGAAGAACCAGCTGAGTAGATTCTTATTCCTACTGCTGTCTCCTTCCTCTGCCTGCTTTGCCTCCAGGGATAATCCTCTTTGGTTGCTCAGATTCAGAATTCACCCCGTGCTGCTCTGGGTGTGATCCCCCCACATTCCCTCCCCATTTTCACCATGGGCTCAGCTCCCTGAGTATTTCCCTGTTTCCACTTTAAATTGCTTCAGAGCTGAGTTCCACCTTTCCAAATCACCTCCTTAAAACATCTCTCCTTTCTAGGTTAGGGCTTTAAAGCCCAGACCTCCTCCCAGTTCTGCTGCTGCTCTGAAATATTGAACAAAATGTGCTTTCCTGCCTTTTTTTTTCTTTTCCCCCCTGTCTTCTTGTCCTGCCTCTCTAATGAACATCCCAAATTTTGTTGGCACAAGCACTTTCCTTCCCTGCCCTTTTGGCCGTGTCTCTCCACGTTCAGCACTTTAAAGCCCCGTCAGGAACGTGCAGCTTTTCTACCTGTGATTTAAAGTTCTCCCTTCTAAGAGCTTTCTTTGCAAGTCCTTTGACTCCTTTTCCCTTTCTGCCCCTCTTCCTTCTGAGGAAGCCTCAGGCAGCTCCCAAAAACTCTTTATCTTCCCTAAAAATCCTGCCAGGAGTAAATGTCCACGTGCCATCCTGGGTTACCTGGGCTGTGCTTTATTCATTTCGTAATTTAAAGGTCTTCAAGGGGAAAAATTGCTATTTTGTCTATTATTTAATAAGTACCTTGTGGCTGTTTAGGTAACAAGAGCCAGAATTCTTTTTTTATATTGAAAATAAACCTCTGTTTGTGATATACATTAACAAGAGTATATGTGTGTACATACACATCTATCTATCTTTATCTATTTATATCTATCTTTATCTATTTATATCTATATCTGTTTATATCTGTCTATACCTATTTATATCTGTCTATATATCTATTTATATCTATATTTATATCTATATCTGTCTGTATTCATATCTCCATATATGTCTCTCTATATCTCTCTCTCTTTATCTATATTTTTATCTATATTTTTATCTATAAATATCTATATTTATAGATATATCTCCTCTATCTGTGTTTTTATATATATATATATATATCCCATTTGTGGAATACAAGCTGAATATCCCATTCAAAAAAAAATAAATATATATATTTATGTAATAAAAATAGTATTCTTTTAACACCACGTCCAAAATGTCAAATTTAATCTATTGGAAAAATAGAACGTGCCTATGTATATTTATAATTTGGGGTTTTCTGATTGTTGGTGTGGGTTTTTTTTAATGCCCAGAGTATCATAATATTTGCCCCTCTTTAAGATGCACGTGGTAATTTCTTCTGTCATTGAAAGGCACATGGCCTGGCCCTAAGTGATGTGTTTAATAACTATCATCTGTGTCCTTCTGCCTAATAAATAGTTCTGCTTCCTGCTGTCAAAGAGGGGAGTGAGAGGCACGTGCAGCAGAGAGAGAGAGAGAGAAAAATCAAATTCCTGCCTCCTCACACCATCAATCAGCAGTGACAGCCCCTTTAACACCCCATTTGGAGGGCAGGCAGCTCTCAGATGGGAACTGGCTGGAACTGGGAGCCTTTGTGGACACAAACCCGGCCCAGAGTGGAGAGCAGGGAGAGGTTGTGGTGCAGAGAGCTGAGGAGGATCCTTCCTGCCCCGTCCTGGCCGAGCTGGGGGCATTTCCCAGGCGGTGTTTGCTGCTTTGAGGCTTCTCTGCCATCGCCCCTGACACGTTTATACCACGTTTGAGGCAAAGTGCAGCTGACAACGTGACTGATTCCTGACGTGTGGCAGCTGATTCCTCTAAAACACGGCTTGCAAATATTGCTGTTCAATGCCAGGCAAAAAAAAAAAACCAAAACAAAACCCCCCAGCGTGTGAAAATACAGTGACACAAGATTTTAATTTGAATTACAAAAAGATTCTCATCAGTTTAAGCCACTAGTTCTCTCCTTTTTTTTTTTTTTTTTTTAAGATGTGTTTTAAGCAGAAATTAGAATTTCTATTACATGGTGTCAGAAAAGCTCTTAGCATTTATAAATGCTCACTCCTGCAAGTTAAAAAATCCTGGTTGGTAATTCCCACTCTGGGTCTTGCGAGGCACTTTTCAATCATTTCTCTCTGCTAATTTTGGTGTCACCCTCATTTCTTTTGAAAAGATTCATTTTGAGCAAATTTGTAAATGGCCCTGATGTGTTCTACAATTGAGTCAATTACTGTTTCAGCCTGCAAACCTCCTGGGAAACGGAACATACATGGCCTGAAGGTACGAATTTCAATAATTGTTTCAGCAAACTTAGATGGATTTGTAATGCTGTGTTCCACTTATTGAAATGTCAAATAAAACTGCACTTTCTTGAGCTCTGACAAGCAGATTTTTTTATTATTGTTATTATTTTTTAATTTTTTTTTTTTTGGTGAGGGTGGGAGAAGGATTTATCTGCTGAGCGTTGTGCTATCTGTATATATCTATATTACAGAGAGATACATATTTTTTTAATTAAAATGGAGCTGCCTTTCTTTTAGTTTTTAATCTCTGTGAATCAGGTTCCTAAATTTCAATTGTCAGTTTATCAACTAATGCTATTTGTGTATATATATATACATATATCTGTATATACACTATATATATATTATATATGCATATATATAGTTTTATTAGAATGGAACTGCCTTTCTTTTTGTTTTTAACCTCTATTAATCAGGTTCCTAAATTTCATTAGTCACTTTATGAACCAATGCTATCACTGTGTGTATGTGTATATATGTGTATGTGTGCATATACACTATATATAAATATAGTTTTATTAAAATAGGACCGCCTTTCTTTTTGTTTTTCACCTCTGTTCATCAGGTTCCTTAATTTTAATAGTCACTTTATCAACTCATACCTGCCACTACATCAAAGCTTTAACCCCCCCTCATATTCATTTGATTTCAGTCATTTAAAAACCCCCCCCACGTTCATTTGATTTTTTGAGTGGGGAAGGCACCGCAACGAAATTATTTGAGGGTTTGGATTCCTCCAGCTCTGCTTCTTGCTTGTGTCACCATGGGTAGGAGGCTCCAAGTGCACGAAATGACTGCTTAGTTTTTAAACTGAGCACAAAAGATGGATTTCTCACCTCTCTCCCGCGCTGTTGAAGGTGGGAAGGTTTTGCAGCCCAGGAGTTGTGGAGCCTGCTAACCTACATACAGACCCCAACCATCGGCGTGCCTGGCAACAGCTAATTAACCTTCCTAGTGAAATGAGAAATTCGTGGCAAATTACAGGTTAATTAGAATAGTGTCCTCTGAACGCAGTGACTGATAAGGATCCTTTCCCTGCCTGCAGGTAAATACTCGAGCAGGGGCTGCCAACAACAGCGGCTCCGCCGATTCCCTCCCCAGCAATAGGTAAGAGCCAGCTCCTGCTTTGTGTCCCTGCTTTTACTGCACCAGAATGGACCCTGCTGGGTGGTTGTTGCCAGCAGTGGCACTGTTGGTGGATAAGTTTTTGCACCGGTGCTGAGGTGGGGAAGGTGAACTGCCTGCGTTCGTGCCTGCGGTGGCTCCACAAGAATTGCCTTCTGAAAAAAAAACCAAGCATTTTCTGGCTGTTTCAGGTGGTTCTGTCCTTATAAAACCTTGAGATACTGTTTGGGGTTAAATAATTATTATTAATAATTAGTTCATCTAATGGCAGGGTTTGTACGTTTATGTCTTCGTTGCTTGATCTCGTTCCAGGATCCTTTGCTTTTAAAATACCCTGTTCTTAGCTTTGCAATAATAAATAACCCAAATAATAAACCTCCCTGGGTTTATTTACAGCTTAGGTGCCCTATTTCATACAGTTTCAGCAAAGTTTTGAAGTCCATCTCCCTTATTTTTCTTTTTACATCCCAGTCTTAATTTGAAAACCCATGTTAAGGTCTTAAAATGCAAGAGAACTTGTTCTCTTTTTTTTCCCTAGAGATTTGACTTTTAAATGCTGGAGCATAAACTCCCTTTTATTACACCAAGTCATTCTTCTCAATACTAATGTTAAAAGGAACAAACAAAAACTTGTGTGTTCTTGAAAAAAGCAATAAGGAAAGCCTGGCTCCGTGTTCTCGATACCAGAGCATATTTGAACCGTGGGAATAGAGACCTCTGGAGGCCCCTTTCAACCTAAATTATTCTATTATTCTAATAAGCATGTAATATTGCATTTATCTGTGCATCAGCATCTGCTGCCTTGGCTCTCTGAGAGCATTTTGTAAAATCAAAGGAGATTAATTGCCAGAGGTAGATGAACATCACCAAAGACACAGTCGGGCTGCATTTGATGGGTGAATTTTGGGTGTGTGTTCTGTGAACACCCCAGCGTGGTGGGGCAATCCCAAAATCGCTCTTCTCCCTGTGGGAATGATGGGATGTGGGTGCCCACTGATGTGGGTTCCACTCCCCTCCAGCAGCAGGGAGCTCTGCCCCGCTGGCAACCCCACCCCAGCACCCCAAAAACCCGTTGGGTGCTCCATTTTAGTGGCTTTGCTAATTGGGGAGCTAAAAAAAGCCAGCCCGGTGTGCCCCCTCCCCTGGGGAAGGGTTTGCTCCCTGTTTTAGTGGATAATCCAACCCCAAACTCCCTAAAGGAGCTCAACCCGAATGGCTTTGACCCGCTCTGAACTAAATAAAGCTGTTTTCTGTGCTGGGGCTTTCAGCACTGCCTCCACTTTGAGCTCCTTCTTCAAGTGCAGTGAAAAGGAAGCTTCTGGAAGCTTCTTGTCACCTTATTTGGTGGTTAATTGCCATTCCTTTTCCCAGCCCTTCGGCACTCTCCGAGTTTTGTTTTTGAAGTAATTGAAAGTCTCTCTTTGTTTCATGTTCACAAATTGTTAGTCATGAAAGATGACAAGATCAACTTATGTTTCCTTGGAAAACTTAATTTTTCTTTAAAGTAGTCGTGGGAACAAGAGGCCTATTAAAGAACAAAGCCACCAAATATGAAATCTGTGTTTTCACTGTTCCTGTTAATAATGATCTGTGATCAAGACACGTGCACAGGCCTTTCAAGAATATATTATTTTGTACTTTCTTTTTTTTTTTTTTTTTTAAACTTCAGTAATAAGAGCAGAATGTCCCTTTGAGATGAAGTTTGGTTTTTGCAGACATTTTGCTGCCCAGGCAGTTTGTTGTGTTGAAGGGACAAGGAACAGAGTTTGTCAGGAGAGGAGGTGAAAAGCAGCCTTTGGTGAGTGGGTGGAAGGAGTTTGAAGCCACTGATGGTTTATCCTACAGAACTCCCCAAGCTGAGAGTTGTGGCTTGTTAAAGTTCTCCTAGCAGAGAAGACTGAGTTGTTTTGTGTAAGATCATTGACGTGGGAGTGGATTCTTCCTGAAAAAGCACAGGGAGTGCAGCAGGTTGTCCTGGAATGGAGAGCTGGGCTCATCTCAGGGGTTTAGACCCATCCCTGAGGTGCCTAAATCAGGAATTTTGCTGTCCTGCTCACCGTGCTCTGGTCTGCAGTCAGCTGAGGCGAGTGGGGCAAAGCCTTCTGCTGCAGGAATTGTTGAGGAATAAGCCCTTAAGGAGCTGTAAACCAAGATATGGCACCTGAAAACTGGATGGGAGCCTTGTTCTTCTGTTGTTTTCTGAACCACCTGATATGCCAGAGTGTCTTCCTTTCATTTTACTGATGAACAATGGGCTGTGTCTCAGAGGCTGGTACAGTCAGGTTGTCTGAACCAGCCAGTTTGTGAAGGTGAAAATCTTGGTCTGATGGAGTGAAACAACCCAGCCATTAAAAACAATCGCCTCTCCTTTTTATTTCAGCTTGAAAAAGTCTTCTGCAGAGCTGAAGAAAATACTTGCCAATGGCCAGGTAGGTGCTTTGGATGGAGCCTTTGCTGCCTGGATCTGCAGTGATTGGCACAGCACAAACAGGGGCAGAGATGTTTGCTGCTCATTTAGCTGTGGTGGGTTCTTTTAACACGGGGCTGGAGGCACCATGAAATCCTCCATCGTATGAATGAGTTGTGTGGCCCGATTTACTTTGATTGGCAGAGCAATTTGCTGCCCATTTCTCAAAATGTGCTAATCAGATTTAGCTGCAAATGGATGGGGGCCCCTCACACGTGTTGTGCTTCCACCACCGTTCCAGGGGAGGAAGTTAATCAGTTTTGAATAACTGAGTCAGCTGCTCACTTAGAACGACCTTCCTGCTTTCTAGGGCAGAAGACACCTGAATATTTAACAGGGTTTTACAGGGAACTGCTCTGGGATCACTTCAGAATCATGGAATGGTTTTGGTTGGAAGGGACCTTAAAGCTCATCCAGTGCCACCCCCTGCCATGGGCAGGGACACCTCCCACTGTCCCAGGTTGCTCCAAGCGCCGTCCAACCTGGCCTTGGACACTTCCAGAGATCCAGGGGCATCCACAGCTTCTCTGCCCAACCTGTGCCAGGGCCTGCCCACCCTTCCAGCCAGGAATTCCTTCCCAATATCCCATCTAACCTTGCCCTCCTTCAGCTTTAGGCTGCTCTGCCACTTTATGTGATGTTCAGTTAATGGATGAACTTGCTTTTAAAGGTCTTCTCCAACCTAAACTATTCTGATGGTTCTATGTTGTAACTTCTTTATAAAAAGCAAAAAAACCCAACCAGTAAACCCAGAAAACCCCCCAAAAGCTGTAGACAACTGTCTTGTTCCTTTCCCTTCCTGCTCCAGGCATTCAGCTCCCGGCCCTCCAAAGTGAAAGGTTTGATGTAACAACCGATGGACGAGTGGACGATCAGCACAATTATTTTGCACTTGTTTTGGGCAGGCTTGTAATGACACTAAACATACCCTGTTAAATTAAACCACCCTCAGAGAAGCCCAGATCCTTCAGCAGCAGCATAAATATGTTTGAATGTTTGTCACAGAGAGCCCTTTGCAGCCTCGGAGGCCGGTGCCTGTCGTGGGCTCAGACTTGCCTATTAGGCTCTATTGACTGAGACATCTGTGTCACTGCAAATAAAAGACTCTTATTGATTTTCTTAACTGCTGTTCACTTCCCCTCCATGTTTCCAAGGCTGAAATCTTAATTATCTCAGATGCCTATTCAGTGCCTTCACACAGTGACCTCTCCGAGCCTCATTGGCATTTCAGCAATCGAGGAGTTGTCGTTGAGCGTGGCAGGAAGGGAAGGGCTGAGCTTGGCGTGTCCTTCGGCCTCACCTGGAGCACTGAGGGGGGAAACAGATGAAGGACCCCCTCAAAAACAGGATTTGGACACCCCAGTGCCACTGAATCCCGGGAGTGCAGCTTGGAGGTGTGGTTTTGAGCTTGCCAGCATCCCTTTCTGTCCGGGTTTTCAGTCTGATGTTCCCTCACGTTCAGGTTTAGTTTGGTGTTCACGCATTCCCACCAGGTGGATTTGCTCGTCTTTCAAAATTGAGAGCCAAACAATGACCTGAAATTCTGGCAGCGCTCACTCATTTTTTTTCCCAAGGTGGAATTGTTGAATGTGAGTGAAAGCCTCCTTCTTGTGAAGGGCTGAATTTGGGCACTTTACGTGTTCAGAACAATAAAAACGAGTGGTTTGTGTGCCCTGCAGTGGATTTGCAGATTTCTCCCCTGTGGTTTGGAATTTTAGAAGGGTATAAAGGAACCAGACTTCTTGTTATGATTTTAAAAATTTTATTTAAACCCATTAAAAAAGAAATAAAATAATTAAGTTTTAATACTACTTTTTATTCGCCCTGGTAGGAGTAAATCTGCTTTCTCTTGAGAGCAAATGATTTTGGTTGTGTTCTGCAAAATTTGGTCCCAGACCCATGGCTGGAGCTGGGTTTCCAGTAGTAACTTTTAAGTTTTCCTCCTTTTGGGGGATTAAGTCACACTTATCATTACTTAAATATGGCCTGGCTTATTAGTTTTGATTATTTTTTGGCAGTTTCTGCTTTCAGGCATCCCTAATGATATTCCTCTAGTAGTTTCCATTTAGGTTTAATAAGGAATTCATATTAATCATTAAAAGAAGGGGACATGATTCTTCAAGATAATCAAATATTGACAGGTTAGAAATAGCTTTCTGCCTGGGTTCATTGATATAGGTGATGTGATATAAATATTTATTTCTTTTCTGTCACTCAGAGTAAATGCCACCAATTGATTCAGCATTGATATAGTGTCAACAGTTCATAAGAAACATTTGACTGGCTCGTGTTTTCCGATTAGTCTCCGCTCTATAAAGTGGGATTTACTAAATCTCCTCAATTGTCTGCTCATGGAGTGTGACTGCTTGCTGAATCCATGATTGCTTCCATTTGGGAAGCAAAGGTGCGGCCCCAGCACTGTGGCAGCCCCTCCAGATCAAATAAGGATTAATTGGGCATTTTGCTTTTAATGATTTACAGGAGGCAGGCGCTGATTTCTGCCCAGCCCGGCAGGTCCAAGCCTGGGATGTTTTGTTTGCTGCTCCATAATTGAAGCTTTGCTTTTGCACCAATTCCCTTCATCTCAGCAGCCAATCCAAGTTGGGTTTGCAGCTTTTAATATTCCAGTCCTTCCTGGGGAGCTCACTGTTATTATGTTGGTGTTTTATGGTGGGGAATCCGGTTTTCCCAGGTAAAATAAATAAATCAGCCCGTGGTTTTTTGGCATCTTTACTGGAGCCAGTAAATCCCACCTTGCCTGTCCGTCGGGTGCCGACAGACGTTCCCTCCACCCCAGTATTCCTGGTTTTCCCTGGGTTCTGGTTGCTCTTTGTGCTGGGTTATCACCAGGCTCAATCCTCAGGGGATGGAGCTGCTCCCATCCCCATCTTTTAGGGAATGACGAGGTGAAAATGCTCCCTTTTCCCAGGGGGCAAAAAGCGGGAGAGAAGAGGCAACGCCTCGTCTCCAATTCAGCTCAATTTGTTGTTCATAATTCGTGTAACCACCAAAAACTCTTCTTTTTCACCCCCAAGAAGGGAAGATATGAGTTTCCTCGTGGCTTTGTGGGTTCATTGGGTTTCTCTTCAGAGTTATCTTGAGGAGAACATTTCTGGGGATGCAGGAGAAACGTTGGCTGTTGCCTCCGAGACCGGAGAACTCCAGTCTTGCAGCTTGGAAGAGCAGATCTCCTTAAATTAACTGTGATTTAAAGAGTCTGCAGCCTGAAAGAAATTATTTCCAGTGCAAGGGATCCACTGGAGTTTCTTCACGTGTTTTAAATCCCACCCATGAGTGGTTGTTCCCCGTGAGGTGTCTCTTCCCCCTCTTTATTTGCATTTTCTGGTGGATGCAAAAAGCAGGAGAGCTTTTGGTGATGAGGTAAATGTTGGTTTTCATCATAAACCTTGATATTTGAGTGGGCCATTTCATCCCCTCTTGGATACCTGGCCAAGGTTTGACTACAAATAGGTAAGAAAAGAGAGGCAGCTTCTACTTTGAGGTATTTTGAGTTTTTTCAGGACTCAGGTTTTACCATCACTGGAAGAAATGTGCAGTATTTCCTGTGAGAAACCATGGTTTTTGTTCAGGCAGTGAAAGAAAAGGACACAAATTTTGGATCAATCACTTCTGTTCTTAAAGCTTATTTTAAATGAATCAAATGTTCCATTTTCTGCTTTTAAGACATGCTGAGTATTGACTCTTCAGGACATTTCACCTGGTTGTCATCACTTGTGTTCACACACAAGAATGACAGTCTTTAAGCAGCCAGGCCAACTCCTGTCAAATATTCAACTTGGTGTCCCATAAATTGCAAATTTAAAAGACCTTTTAAAAGTTGGGTTCGTCCAAACATTTACTACTTAAAATTATCAGGCAATGAGGGAGTCCTTTTGGAATAGAAAATGCTTTTAATCCAGAAGTTATTCTGATTAGAAGGTTTATTTTAAAGTACAGACATGCATTGCAAGAATGTCTTTGAGTGAGTTTTTTAAACAGGTGCAAAATCAGTAGAACTGAAGTTGTGCAGGGGAAGGCTGAGCTGTAGTTTTACATTTGAATTGATCCTTCAGTACAATAAATTTTTATAAAAGCATTGCCAGAAAGGTCCCAAATTCCAGATTTGCAATTTCCAGTGTTTGTATCAGGCTCCTGCTTGGATTTCTGAGGATCTCATTGTGTCTGGACAGTTGTCCCAGTGAACAGAAAGGTTGAGACAAATAATTAGTTGTGTATTTCAAGGAAAAATATTTTTATTGCACTTCATGACTTGGTTTTTTTTTTTCCCAAAGATGTCTTTTAGTTAAAAGGGGTGTAAATGGTGCTCTGTGAAACAACCTGCTGGCAGAACTGTCACTCCATGAGCATCCCTGATGCTGATTCCAGAATAAATCATAAACTTTTGCAGCCACCCTTAAGCTGACAGTTTTCTGTTGGGTTGTTTCCATTCACCTCCAACTTTGGCTTTGCTTATGTGCTGTTCTGGAGACCCTTTTCCTATCAGTAGCTGTGACCTGACCCTCTTGAGCTATATTATATCATTCCATTTTGACACCTTTTATCAAACTTTAATGAAATGACCCAGGCAAACAAATTGTCATTAAACTTTCCATCACTTTGTCCCTTGGTATCGTCCTTTATAAATTGGACAGCAAATGTTGTATTGATCTTCTCGTTCTTGCAGCTGAACTTGAAATGACCCAGACTGCTTGTTGTTTATGGCCTAGAGTTGCTTTTCCTTGACATTTCCATCCACAGCATGACATCTCTTTTGTTTTTCTTTCTTTCTTGTGGAGATGAATGAACAAGACATACGGTATCGAGACATCCTCGGTCATGGCAATGGAGGCACAGTCTACAAGTGAGTGGGGATTTCACTTCAAATCTTTTTTAAAAAATGGGGATTTAACAGCTCTTTTTATTTCCAACCCTTGGTGTTCGTGTCGAGGTGCAGGTGGGCTGTTGCTCCTCTGCAGGCAAGGTGGTAAAATAAGTCCTTAACCTGAACTTTGAAATTATTCTCTGATATATTTACAAATCGTCTGCTCCTGGGTGCTGGGAGGGCTGGGGGCATTTTGATTGTCTTTTTAATACTTAGCTTTGAATCCCCTCTGGGTGAGGAGTTAATGGTTCCCAAGTGGAACTTGGAATGTCCCGAAATCCAGGATTTCCAGTGCCATTGTTCCTGCTGGCTCACCATGCCCTCACTGGGAATGACACCGGTGGGATGGGGTGACACCAGAATTCCTCACCCCCCTGCTGTTCTGGCAGTGACTTTCCCTCCCTCCTGAGCAGCTTCACACCCAGGCTGATGGATGGATTAAATGATAAACTCCCCCAAATTTTGGTAGTGGAGCTTTAATACCCTGCAGCCAGTATTAATTTGAATATTGTAAAGATTATAATAACACAGATAGAGTTTTCTCGACAGGAAAGTCTTTTCTCATGCATAGTGCAAAGTTTAAACTACATAATGTAATATCTGGTACTTAATAGTCTGCAGTGGTGTATGAAAAATATTCCACTGGGAATTAAGAAATCCATACTTTATAAGAAAGCCCTGAGGGAGTAATAAAGGTTTCCTCCAGAGAGCTATTTACCATATACAGTAACCCAGCATCCCATTAGGGTTTTGTTTATACCTTAGACATTTTAACTTTGAGATTAACATTTTTTTTTCCCCTAAAATGTTTTAAAAGTTATGGTGCATTTAGTTTAGTTTCTAATTGGCTGCCAACGTTGCAGAAGGTTTAATGGAAATGGACTTCCAAAAGCTTAAAGGAGCGAATCCAGCCTTGGAATGGACTCTGAAAATCAGATGAGAATTGTGGGTGGAATGTGGTTCAGAAATCTTATAGAGAGTTGTGTTGGAGAAAGATATTCCTAGACCAAGAAACTTGAGGAATTGGTATTATTTTCTTACTTTTTATAATAGATATGAGAGAGAATGTTGGGCTCTCTGCTCCAGGGAATTGTTTGTATGTGTGAGTGTTTTACACATAGTCATGGAATTCTGGAATGGTTTGGGGTTGGAAAGGGCCTTAAAGCTCATCCCATCCCACCCCCTGCCACGGCAGGGACACCTTCCATTATCCCAGGCTACTCCAATCCCTGTCCAGCCTGGCCTTGGACACTCCCAGGGATCCAGGGGCAGCCACAGCTTCTCCGGGCACCCTGTGCCAGGGCCTGCCCACCCTCCCATCCAGGAATTTCTTCCCAATGTCCCATCTATCCCTGCCCTCTGGCAGTGGGAAGCCATTCCCTGTGTCCTGTCCCTCCATGCCTTGTCCCCCATCCCTCTCCAGCTCTCCTGGAGCCCCTTTAGGCCCTGGAAGGGGCTCTCAGGTGTCCCTGGATCCTTCCCTTCTCCAGGTGAGCATTCCCAGCTCTCCCAGAGCCGAGGGGCTCCAGCCCTGGGGCAGAACTTCCCACCTTGGAGCAATCCCCCCTTCCTGAGGGGGAGATCATCTCCACCAGCGCAAGCCAAGAAGGACTTGCCAAGTGGAATACTTACAGGTAGCTGCATTGCACTGGTCATACATAGCAGCCCACATACATTTTATTCCAGTAAATCAATGAACATTTGTCAGGTGAAATTAATTGCAGAGGTTTGGCCGTTTCCCCCTCGTGCTGGTGGAGAGGAGAGCCCGTGCGGGTTATTGATCTGCAGCTGAAGAACGAGCCTGTCCGCACCCTCCCCTCTCTGCTCCCTTTCCTTCCCAGCTCTTTATCCTAACTCAGATCCATTATGGCAATGATATATTCCCAGCATCCAGCAAACAAGGCAGCAAAAATCCTCAGCCTCCCTCGGCCGTGTGAATTAACCACTATTGGAAGAGTTTATGGAGATGGAATTATTGATCACTTTTCATCCCGCCCCTGGCTCCGGGGACGGGAAGGTGGCTTCGTTCTCCTCGCCAGACGTTATGTTTAGTTAGGAAATGGATTTCATTTCTTTGGGTTCTTTACAGCTTTATTGCTGGGAGAAGAGGTATCTTAGCTTTATTTTTATGACAGTATAATTATACTTTAGAAATACACTTGATTACTGCGTGTAGCAAAATTGTTCCAGTATATTGGCTCGGCCAATATTGCTATACAAACAACTTTTCAGTCAATTGAGTCTGGTAAAAAAATCAATACTTTATAGCAATATTTCTAGGGAGAACTTGCTGAATCTAAATGTTTTTTTTTTTTTCTTCCTGTTCTAAAAAGAAGGGATTTTATAGTTGTTTGACGTCCTTATTTTGCCCCCTACCTTTTGCTGTGCTGTTTTCTTAATTAAGGAACGATAAAAATTCTGAAGTTAGATATGGCAAAACCAGTTAATTAGCCTTGCTTTTTGATTGGTTGCATATTCCAAAATGTGGGGAAAATATATAAAACAACCCCAAACTGTGTGTTAATGCACAATCAGAAAGCAGGAATTCTTCCCCTGGTGCTCAGTGGGCAACGTGTGCCCTGTCTTGGGTGAAGCTTGTCAAGAAAAGGGTGAGAGCTGCTCTTTGCCAGTTGTTGTAGGTAGTTTGTGTCATTAACTGTGATTTCCACTGTTTGTGTGGTATTTAAGTGCAATTCTATGAATTTTTTGCACTCAAATGGCAGCTGTTTTGTAGGAGCTGATGGGGTGGGGAATGCACAGCTCGAGCTGCTCCACAGCAGAAGAAAACATCTGTATGGCAGGACATCTATTGGATTGGCTTAAATTGCTTTTTTGGGAGAAATCATTCACTGGGCAGTCCAAAAGACACGTGAAGGATGTGCTTTGTGCTGCATCTTTGAGCTCCATCCCTGGCTGCAGAGCTCTCAGGGGCTGCTGGGAGGAGATCTGTCCTCATGCCTTCAGTGAGGAAAGGTTCATGCTTTGGTTTGCAGTGTGATGCACACCCTGCCAGCCAGGCTCAGGAGTAGCTACTTTAAATTATTTAGACCTAAAACCCTTAGTTGTGTATACTTTGAACTTAAATATTACGAAGTGTAGAGGTATTGATCTCTGGCAAATTATTTCTCTGTCAGATCTCTCTCACGTGGTATATCAAAACACTGTTTCCTTCCTTTAAAAAGGAATATTTGTCTCTTATTTCATGTTTTTTAGTTCTTGCTTTGCAGTTGTAGCTCAGGAGAAGTGGGATGTTCCAGCAGCTCTGTTTAATCCCTACTGTGTGCCTGGGGTTTATTTTAAATGGGAGCTGTGGATGGTTTGGAGCTCTTTGGGTTCTGTTGGAGGAGCCTCCAGCAGCAGGAGAACATAACAGTCTGTACACAGAAATAAACATAAAGGCCCAATGATGCCCTAATTAATTTGTGAGTTGCCAGGATCTTCTGGGAGAGAGGGAAGAAAAAGGGGGAATGGCTTCCCATCTTCCAAAATGCAGTTTAAGCAGAAGGCTTCACTTTGAGTTGAGTAATTGGGAGGGAAGTGGCTGTTGATGATGTACCACCCTAAGAACGGGGAGAAATGTGGAAAACTCAATTTGCTGGAGCAATTGACTGGAGCAATTGTGCAGTTTGGGTGAGTCGTGTGCTCCAGCAGCTGCCTGCTCCTTCATTCCCTATCCCAGGCCACCTTGGGGTGCCCCATTAGCACATGGGATGTTGCTGTGCCTGGCACAGGCTGCACTCTGTGCCTTGGGAGAGGGGATCGTGGGTGCTCTGAGGTGGGCAGGGACGGGCACTGTCAGATCTGGAGCCGGGAAGTGGAGCAGGAGGTTTGTGTGTGTTTGGCAGGAAGGGGGGTGGAAGGGATGGAGCTCCCTGATGGGATAGCTGCAGGTTGTTGTTGCCTTGAGGAGCTTTGACTCGGCAAGGGTTGCTCCTGCTGGTTTATCCCATGGATTCCAGTGCAGGACAGTGGTGCTGTGAAAGGGAGATTGTTTTTAAGAGCAGTGACTGTAATGCACCTCTGATGTTGTGGGAGGCCAATCTGAATCTTAGTGCAGCTGTTCCTCTCCTCTGCTCTTTCCTTTCTGGTTTTCCATATGGATATCACAGGATCCTGGAATGCTTTGGGTTGGAAGGGACCTTAAAAACCATCCAGTTCACCCCCTCTCACGGGCAGGGACACCTCCCACCAGCCCAGGTTGTTCCAACCTGGCCTTGGACACTTCCAGGGATCCAGGGGCAGCCACAGCTTCTCTGCCCAACCTGTGCCAGGGCCTGCCCACCCTCCCAGCCAGGAATTCCTTCCCAATCTCCCATCTCTCCCTGCCCTCTGGCAGTGGGAAGCCATTCCCTGTGTGCTGTCCCTCCATGCCTTGTCCCCAGTCCCTTTCCTGGAGCCCCTTTAGGCCCTGCAAGGGGCTCTCAGGTGTCCCTGAGCCTTCTCCAAAACATGTGGAACACAAGGTCAATCATTTGCCCCGTTTAAATGCTTGGATTCCCAGATTATTTCGGCCCCTTGGCAGGGTAGGTTGGTGTGACCCCTGCACATGGCCCAGGGTAAATAACTGCAGGCGGGGAGACCCCAGAGCAGTGACAGGAGCAGGGGCAGAGCCCATCCCTGCAGGTTCCCAGGCCTGACCCACGTGGCTTCACCAGTGGGTGATTTCCAGGGGAGGTTTTCCCTGGAACAACCTCTTACCCACAGTGCTTGTCCCAGCCTGGTGCTGGACCCAGAAGGAAGGGAGCAGAGGCAGGTGCAGTGTTTGGTTGGCATTAAAAACACACCTTCAGCCTTTGGAAGTCTGAGAATTGCACCTCCCTGAATCCTCGTGCTGCAGTGGTGGAGGCATTTCCCTTTGTTTCCTTTCCCAGCCTGCATCCATTTGCTGTTTCCCTTGCTCTGTTTTATTTTTAGTCACACTAAAAAGCACTGGAACAGTAATAACTGATTAAGTTAGAAATCCCCCACCGAGTTTCACC